TTTCCTTCCTTCCCTCCTTCTTTCCTTCCTTCCCTCCTTCCTTTCCTCCTTCCTTCTTTCCTCCCTCCCTCCCCCCTCCCACCTTCTCCTCCCCTTCCCCCCCCCCCTCCCCTCCCCCCTCCCTCTCCCCTCCTTCCATCGCTCCCTCCTTCCTTCCTTAATTCCTCTATCTATAGATCTTATATCTTCCATCCACCCCTCTATCTATCATCTACCTATCCTATCTATCTTTCTATCTCTATCACCCATCTGTCCGTCCGTCTGTCCATCTCTCTCTTTGTCTATCTGCATCATTTCTGTGCCACCCACCACTTCTGGGCCTCTGGGCAGTTGACAGATAAAACCTCTCCCGTCGTGTAAAAGTCACAGCCTCTTTTCCGGTTCCAGGAACGCTGCGCTGGATGTGGAGCCCGTCTACGCCTTCAGAGGACACAGGTGCGCAGATGTGCTTGCTGCAAACGGGGGGGGGGGCTTTTTAGGATGCCAGGCAGACAACGCCGTTGGCTCCTCACCCTTCCCCCTGTGGGAAAGTACCGGTATCCACAACTTACAGCAATTCACTTATTGTCTGCTCAGAGTTGCAACGGCGCTGGAAAAAGGGGCTTGGGACTGTTTTCCCCACGACCGTTCCCAGGGTCACATGATCAGAATTCAGCCCCTTGGCAGCCGACCCATACTTACGACGGTTGCAATCTCCGGGGGGGGGTCACATGATCGGCTTTTGCAACCTCCTGCCAAGCCAAGGGGGAAGCCAGATCCACTTAACGGCCGTGTGACTGATTTAAGAACTGCAATGATTCGTTTAACAACCGTGGCAAGAAAGGTCGCAAGATGGGGCAAAATTCACTTAACAGCTGACTCGCTTAGCACCAGGAACGTTGGGTTCAATTGCGATCATAAGTCAAGGGGCTGCCTGTACGATGATAAGACATTACATGGCAATCTGTGGCCTACTTCTGAGGCCCCCAGCAGCTGCCCCACTCTTTCCCAGGGGGGGGCAGTAGCCCCGCAAACCTCACAAGGAAGCCCTGCACGCAGCTTGCAGAGGGACTAACGAAACCATCCTCCTCATCGTGTTGGGAAAGGTGGTTTGGGTGTAGGGATCCTTCTCAGCCCCTCCTCTTGGCTTCCCTCCTCAGGGGCCCGGTGCTTTCGGTGGCCATGGGTTGCAACAGCGAGACCTGCTACAGTGGGGGATCAGACGCCAGGATCCGCTGTTGGAAGCTCCCCGATCTGGGCATGGACCCTTACGACGGCTACGGTAGGTAGGAAGCTCCCCTTGGTCCAGCAAGCTCCTCTTCCTCCACCTCCTCCCTGGCAAAGTGGAAGTACAATACAATACAATAGCAGAGTTGGAAGGGACCTTGGAGGTCTTCTAGTCCAACCCCCTGCCTAGGCAAGAAACCCTATACCGTTCCAGAGAAATGGCTATCCAACATCTTCTTAAAGACTTCCAGTGTTGGGGCATTCACAATTTCTGGAGGCAACTTCTGTTCCACTGATTAATTGTTCTCACTGTCAGGAANCCACCACCACCACCACCACCACCACCTCCTCTATACAAATCTCCCTCCCTTCTAGGACTGATGATGTTACCTAGTTGGGTCCTGAAACGACTCAAAGAGCACCCAGGACTCCTCAGTCCAACTCTGGCCTACCAGTGGATTCTCTCTTCCTTCTGGCAGGAACGCAGGGAAGGAAGTGAAGGAGCGGATCAGTAACCCCGTCATGGAGAAAATCCCCTTTTTGAGGGGTTGTGAGGACGACGACAGTGACGAAGAGGAGGATATGGAAGGCCTGTCCCTGGAGACTCAGCGGCAGCATAAGAAGCAGCGCGTAAAGGTATATCCCCCGTCGCTCCTTGTTGAAGTTGTTGGGGCGCAGCAGGGGCTGGGAGGCGGGCAGGAGACTCAGCTGAGCGGTGCCCACTTTCCGGTGAGGACTAGAACCTTGTCATTTTTAAGGACGGACACTGGATTTCAGCTATTCTCGCAATAAAAATTTGTAAAGTGAAACCGAGCATGAAAAATGCAACTCACAACAGATGTTTTGCGACCTGTTGGACACATTTTAGAAGCATTTCAAGGACGTGAAAGTTTCGTCCATTTCTTGTTCTGTTTATTACTCAGGAGTGTCCAAGTTTGGTGACTTTATGACGGGTGGAATTCTGGGAGTTGAAGACCACCAGTCAAGTCGCCAAGCTTGGAGCCTCCCCTATTTTAAAGCCCGGGATGTCAGTCCTCCTGTGGGTACAATTATCGTGTCTTTTGCTTTGCGTGTGCAATGTTTTAATTTATTCCCTTCTGTTTTTCTAGTAGAAAAAGCAAAATATCAGCCTGCTGCCACTGGGGTAGCCCTCAGTCACTTAACAAGCCCTATAGCTTCACAACAGGGCTATCCTAAGAATTACCAGGCCTTAGAGCCGAGGTGGCACAGTGGTTAGGGTGCAGTACTGCAGGCCACTTCAGCTGACTGTTATCTGCAGTTCAGCAATTCTAATCTCACTGGCTCAGGGTTGACTCAGCCTTCCATCCTTCCGAGGTGGGTGAAATGAGGACCCAGACTGTGGGGGGCGATATGCTGACTCTGTAAACCGCTTAGAGAGGGCTGAAAGCCCTATGAAGCGCTATATAAGTCTAACTGCTATGGCTATTGGCGGTATTTTCCCTTCAGTTTAATTTCAATTTGGGCACAAGGAATATTTTAACAGCCTTTTCGTCTCCACCGCGCGCCAGACCGCAAACGAGAACACGGCTTTTCTACGTCCACAAGGGGTGGAATCCCCTAGAGCAGTGGTCTCCAACCTTGGCAACTTTAAAACCTGTGGACTTCAACTCCCAGAGTTCCTCAGCCAGCTTTGCTGGCTGAGGAACTCTAGGAGTTAAAGTCCACAGGTCTTAAAGTTGCCAAGGTTGGAGACCACTGCCCTAGAGGGTGGATTAGGAATCCAGGCCTAACCAAGCTCGGTGGGCCGTGCTTTTCTTGGCAGCTCGCCAACAAGCCCCTGATGCCCGAAGTGGAGGATGAAGACGACGACGAAGATTCGGAGGACGCCCTGAGCGAGTTCGACTACTTGGGCTCCGGGGAAAACGGGGAAGGATCTGGGGACACGCGGCGTGCCGGGGATGGCAACGAACTGGGTAAGTTCTCGGTGGTCTCTTGACTCCTTTTATCCGGGAAGGGTCCCTGGGAGGAGAAAGGGGAGAAGGGAGTGAAATCTGTGGGGCGGCTGCATCGGGGGCCTCCAGGAACAGAGTTTGGCATCTTAGCTGCTGGGGGTGTCCGTGGGTCAGAAGGTGCTTCCTCGCTTGGGGATGGGAGACCCGAATGGGCAGAGTTTGGAAGGGACCTTGGAGGTCTTCTAGTCCAACCCCCTGATCAAGCAGGAGGCCCCGTCCCATTTCAGACTGAAAGTAGCCCTCGGCTTACAAACCGTTCCATTGAAGTTCCTCCAAAGGCTCAGAAAGCTTTGAAGAAGCTCCGTGGATGGGAAGCGAAACGTCTTCAGAGAAAAAAGCAGAAAGCCCACAGTTGCCTCTTGGAAAAAAGCACCTTTGGGTCTCACTTAGTGACAGAAATGTGGGGCTTGGTTTTGGTTGTAAGTCGAGGGCTTCCCGTATGGTCTTTGGTGACACCTTCATCCTCCCTGAATTCCAAGAGTGGGCCTGATTAGCAACCATCGGCTCAGCTGACTCAGTTTTCCCTTCCTTCCTTCTTTTCCTTCCTTCCTTCCCTTCTTTCTTTCTTTTCCTTCCTTCCTTCTTTCTTTTCCTTCTTTTTCTTCCTTCCTTCCTTTCCTTCTTTCTTTCTTTTCCTTTCTTCCTTTCCATCCTTCCTTCTTTTTCTTCCCCCCTTCCTTCCCTTCTTTCTTTTCCTTCCTTCCCTTCTTTTTTTCTTTCTTTTCCTTCCTTCCTTCTTTTGTTTCCTTCTTTTTCTTCCTTCCTTCCTTCCCTTCTTTCTTTTCCTTCTTTCTTTTCCTTCCTTCCTTCCTTCTTTCTTTTCCTACTTTTTCTTCCTTCCTTTCCTCCTTTCTTTTTCTTCTTTTCCTTCCTTCCTTCATTCCCTTCTTTTCCTTCCTTCCTTCTTTCTTTTCCTTCCTTTTTCCTTCCTTCCTTTCCCTCCTTCCTTCCTTCTTTCTTTTCCTTCCTTCTTTCTTTTCCTTCCTTCCTTCCATCCTTCCTTCTTTTTCTTCCCTTCCTTCCTTCATTCTCTTCCTCCTTTTCCTTCCTTCTTTCTTTTCCTTCCTTTTTTCTTCCTACCTTCCTTTCCCTCCTTCCTTCTTTCTTTTCCTTCCTTCTTTTTTTCTTCCTTCTTTTTTCCTTCCTTCCTTCTTTTTCTTCCTTCTTTTCCTTCCTCCCTTCTTTCTTTTCCTTTCTTCTTTTTCTTCCTTGCTTCCTTTCCTCCCTTCTTTCTTTCCCTCCCTCCCAGGGCCCCGCAGGGTGAAGCTGCAAGGGATGCTGGCTGATCTCCACGACGTTGATGGACTCTCCCCTAAGCCTTCCATGCCACCAGCCATGACTCCTCAGCCCAGGTCCCACGAAGGTGATTTCTCCACACTTTTTTGGCTCCCAATTGTCCTTTTCTGTCGGCCTCCCTCCCTCCCTCCCTTCGCCCTGCCCTTCCCAATTGCTTCCTCTTCTCCCCCAATCAGGGTCGCTGGGCTTCTCCTCCGATGTCTTCATCATGGACACCATCGGAGGAGGGGAGGTCAGCTTGGGGGACCTCGCAGACCTGACCGTCACCAACGACAACGAGCTGAGCTGCGATGTGAGTCGCCTTGGGGGTGTCCTGGGAGGCCTGCCGCCCTTTCCCCTGCCTTGCCCTCTCGCTCCTCTCCCTGCAGCCGCCCTGCCCGGCCGGCTGGGCCAAAGGAGAGGGGCCTGCAGGGCAGGAGGGAGGGGGCACAGGAGGAAGCCCCCTGGCCGCTGAGTCTTTCCTCTCCTGCTTTCCCAGCTCTCGGACAGCAAGGACTCTTTTAAGAAGACCTGGAACCCCAAATTCACCCTGCGGAGTCACTACGACGGCATTCGAGCTCTGGTCTTCCACCACCGGGAGTCGGCTTTGGTCACCGCCTCGGAGGACGGGACTCTCAAGCTGTGGAACCTTCAGAAGACGGTGGCTGCCAAAAAGTGAGCCCCCAGGGAAACTCCTTTCTCCACTCCCTCCTTCCTCTCCTCCCTCCCTCTCCCCTCCTTCCTTCCCTCCTTCCTTCCTCTCCTCCTTCCTTCTTTCCTTCTCCCCTCCTTCCCTCCCTCCTTCCTTCCTCCTCTCCCTCTCCCTTCCTTCCCTCCCTCCTTCCTTTCCTCCTTCCTTCTTTCCTCCCTCCCTCCCCCTTTTACCTTCTCCCCTCCTTCCCTCCCTCCCTCCTTCCTTCCCTCCTTCCTCTCCTCCCTTCCTCTCCCCTCCTTCCTTCCCTCCTTCCTCTCCTCCCTCCCTCGCCCCTCCTTCCCTCCCTCCTTCTTTCCTTCTTTCCTTCCATCCTTCCTCCTTTCCTCCTTCCTTCTTTCCTCCCTCCCTCCCACTTCTCCCCTACTTCCTTCCTTCCCTCCTTCCTCTCCTCCCTCCCTCTCCCCTCCTCCCTTCCTTCCTCTCCTCCCTCCCTCTCCCCTCCTTCCCTCCTTCCTTCCTTCCCTCCCTCCTTTCCTTCCTTTCCTCCTTATTTCCTCCCTCCCCCCTTCTCCCCGCCTTCCTTCCTTCCCTCCTTCCTCTCCCCTCCTTCCCTCCCTCCCTCCTTCCTTCCCTCCCTCCTCCTTTCCTTCCTTCCTTCCCTCCTTCTTTCCTTCCTTCCCTCCTTCCTTTCCTCCTTCCTTCTTTCCTCCCTCCCTCCCCCCTCCCACTTTCTCCTCTCCTTCCCTCCCTCCTTCCTCTCCTCCCTCCCTCTCCCCTCCTTCCATCGCTCCATCCATCCATCCATCTTATCTATCTGTCATCTATAACTGACTGACTGCCTATCTCTCCGTCCTATCACCCATCTGTCCGTCCGTCTGTCCATCTCTCTCTTTGTCTATCTGCATCATTTCTGTGCCACCCACCACTTCTGGGCCTCTGGGCAGTTGACAGATAAAACCTCTCCCGTCGTGTAAAAGTCACAGCCTCTTTTCCGGTTCCAGGAACGCTGCGCTGGATGTGGAGCCCGTCTACGCCTTCAGAGGACACAGGTGCGCAGATGTGCTTGCTGCAAACGGGGGGGGGGGCTTTTTAGGATGCCAGGCAGACAACGCCGTTGGCTCCTCACCCTTCCCCCTGTGGGAAAGTACCGGTATCCACAACTTACAGCAATTCACTTATTGTCTGCTCAGAGTTGCAACGGCGCTGGAAAAAGGGGCTTGGGACTGTTTTCCCCACGACCGTTCCCAGGGTCACATGATCAGAATTCAGCCCCTTGGCAGCCGACCCATACTTACGACGGTTGCAATCTCCGGGGGGGGGTCACATGATCGGCTTTTGCAACCTCCTGCCAAGCCAAGGGGGAAGCCAGATCCACTTAACGGCCGTGTGACTGATTTAAGAACTGCAATGATTCGTTTAACAACCGTGGCAAGAAAGGTCGCAAGATGGGGCAAAATTCACTTAACAGCTGACTCGCTTAGCACCAGGAACGTTGGGTTCAATTGCGATCATAAGTCAAGGGGCTGCCTGTACGATGATAAGACATTACATGGCAATCTGTGGCCTACTTCTGAGGCCCCCAGCAGCTGCCCCACTCTTTCCCAGGGGGGGGCAGTAGCCCCGCAAACCTCACAAGGAAGCCCTGCACGCAGCTTGCAGAGGGACTAACGAAACCATCCTCCTCATCGTGTTGGGAAAGGTGGTTTGGGTGTAGGGATCCTTCTCAGCCCCTCCTCTTGGCTTCCCTCCTCAGGGGCCCGGTGCTTTCGGTGGCCATGGGTTGCAACAGCGAGACCTGCTACAGTGGGGGATCAGACGCCAGGATCCGCTGTTGGAAGCTCCCCGATCTGGGCATGGACCCTTACGACGGCTACGGTAGGTAGGAAGCTCCCCTTGGTCCAGCAAGCTCCTCTTCCTCCACCTCCTCCCTGGCAAAGTGGAAGTACAATACAATACAATAGCAGAGTTGGAAGGGACCTTGGAGGTCTTCTAGTCCAACCCCCTGCCTAGGCAAGAAACCCTATACCGTTCCAGAGAAATGGCTATCCAACATCTTCTTAAAGACTTCCAGTGTTGGGGCATTCACAA